CACTGTTTAAAAACATTTTTTTTTTCTTTATTGATTTTAGAGAGAGAAGATGGGAGAGAGACAGAAACATCAATGAGAGAGAACATCGATTGGCCACCTCCTGCATGTCCCCCACTGGGGTCAGGCCCACAACCTGGGCATGTGCCCTGACCAGGAATTGAACTGGTGACCTCTTGGTGCATGGGTCTATGCTCAACCACTGAGCCACACCAGCCAGGCTGCAATGAACACTCCTGTGTGTCCTGTACATATGTGTGAGTTTTCCCTGGGAGTAGACATGATGTGGAATTACTGAGTGAACAGGTATGTTTAGGTTCTGAGATGCTGCCAGATTTTCTTTCAATTCAGCACTCCAAGTTTATACCCTGTCAACAGGGTGTGGAGCCTGCCTCTTGTCTCCATTCGTATTCTCTCTCTTTCAATCTAGGGAGAGGAAATAATCTTATTGCTGCTCTAATTAATTCCCCTGTTTACTAACTAGATGGAAACTTTTTATATTTCATCATCACTCATAATATTTTCTTCAGTAAATGCCTATTAATATGTTTTATACAGTTCAATATTGAATTGTATGAGCTTTTTTTCATATTGCAAGAGTTCTTTGTCTATTCTGAATATTAGTTTTTGGTAATACTACTCAGTCTTTAATTTTGTTTATAGTGTCTTATTCAAAAGTTATCAATATTTATGTAATTAGATTTATCAATCTCATGGTTTTTTTCTTTTTGTTTTAAGAGGATTTTGCATACCTTTTTGTTGTTGTTGTTAATCCTCACCTGAGGGTATTTTTTCCATTGATTTTTAGAGAGAGTGGTAGGGTGGGAGGAAGGGGAAAAGAAAGAATAAGAAAGAGAAATAGCACTCTGGCTGGTTTGGCTCAGCGGTTGGAGTGTCGGCCTGTGGACCAGAGAGTCCCGGGTTCAGTTCCTGCTAGGGGCACGTACCGAAAAAAAGAAAAAGAAAAAAGAAAAGAAAGAGAAATATCTATGTGAGAGAGACACATCAATCGGTTGCCTCCCCTACATGCCCTGGACTGGAGCAGGAATCAAACCTGAATTCCAGGTCTGTGCCCTTGACAGGGAGTCAAACCTGTGACCTTTCGATGCACGGGGCCCATGCTCTAACCACTTAGCTACACCAGCCAGGGCAGATTTTGAATACTTCTTTTTTCTTTATTGATTTTAGAGAAAGGGGAAGGGAGAGAGAGAGAGAGAGATAGAAACATTGATGAGAGAGAACATCGATTGGCCACCTCCTGCATGGCCCCCACTGGGAATTTGGCCCACAATCTGGGCATGTACCCTGACCGGGAATAGAACTGATGACCTCTTGGTGCATGGGTTGACACTCAACCACTGAGCCACACTGGCAGAGCACATTTTGAATACTTTTAAAAATTTATTTTCCAGCTGGAAGTTTGTACTTTTTGATCAATCCCATCCTTCCATCTCTCCCACCCTCCACCCCGATAAAGTGCAAAGATGGTGCCCACCAGTCTCTGTGCTGAAGAATGGCTCTTAGATGTGTGTGTTAAATTAGATGCCTGCCCCTCAGGCTGACACTTGAACATAAGCAAACGAGCCTCTTTCACTTGAAGTCTGGCGTCCAGTGGCCACTTCTGCTCTGGTCCCCTAGGATGGGTAGGTCTGAAGGTGTGAGCATTTGAGGAGCTGTTTCTCAGATCGCCACAGACCAGTGGGTCTCGTGGATGGGAGCCCCATTCGTTTTCAAAACTAGATATTTTGAGGGCTCATCTCTCCAGTGCAGGTTTTAAAAGTTATGGTCCCAATGTGGGCTCACATCCTTCACTCCTCAGGGAGACTATTTGGGTCTTGAATTCCCTCTGGATTGTCGGTCCCCACACTGGGGCATGGGGACCTGGCAAGCCTAGGTCCCAGCCTTTCCTATTTGCTTCAATATGTCTTTCTTTTTGTTTGTCCACCGTGTAGTTATAGCTCAGCCAGCCTTGAGTTTTTTTTCAGAGGAAACTGTTTCATAGGTAGCTGTGGACTAGGAGGGTCTGTAAAAGGAGGTGAATGAGCTTGAACCAGTCCCTCCTTGGCATGAAATCCTTTCTGTGGGTTCTAGTCTCCTCTTGCTGGTCTGGAAGTCATTTTACAGTAAGTAAATATTTAAAGTAACTTTAAAGTAAGTTTAATCCTAATTATAGTTATTAAGAACATATGATCTAGACATCTGCCTAAGAGCTTATTTATGGAATATCTTAATTTAATCTGTATAACAACCGAATAAGGCAGATATACTAACATCCTATTCCCAAGAAGGAAACTAAGGCAGAAAAAAAGATAAGTAATTCAAAGTCTCATAGCTAATATGAGTCAGAAGTTTGTTTTGCCTGAATTCATCTCATAGGTTGATTTCCTAACCACCCTTTTCTTCTCCATTGCCTCTACACCAACGGTTCTCAAACTTGAACCATCATCAGCTTCACCTGGAGGATTTGCTCAAGCACAGATCACCGGGCTCCACCCCCAGGGTTCAGATTCATAGGTTTGGGGGTGGTGGCTGAGTTTTACATTTCTAACATGTTCCCAGCTGGTGCTGCTGCTGCTTGTCCAGAGATCATGCTTTGGAATATATATACAGCAACATCTATCTATATATGTTGCCACACACACACACACACACACACACACACGCAACATCTCTCTTTTGCAATATATTCCAGTTTTGGAATATATATACAACAACACCTATCTATATATGTTGACACACACACACACACACACACACACACATGCACACATGCAACATCTCTCTTTTGCAATATATTCCAGTTTTCTGCCTCCTATCCACTTTCTAGGCAACCAGAATGATCTTTCTAATTTCACTTGGAAATATTTATTGAGTGCCAGGCACTATGTTAAGCATAAAGGATAAAATAATGAGCAAAATAAGCAAGAATCCTAATGTCACAATAACCTGAACACTCTCTTTCCTTGGCTGAATACCAGGTAATGTTGATCATGTTCTCCTTTCCATGAGTGTAAAATACAGAAGTATAGTAATTAAAGTTCTAATCCTACAATCAGCTCACACAATGGTTGAGTTAGCCCATGCTCTTTGATTTTGCTCTGGGCAGTTGTTTGGTGGAATAATGAAAACTCCTGCTTGTTTTTCACTCTAAGATAAATTCAGAGTTGTCTTGTGGATGTTGGGTAAGCAGGAATATGAGAGAAAATGAGATAAGATTCTTCAGGCTTATTCTTCCAGTTTTGTAAAACTTGACAAACCCCTTCATCTCTGGAAAGGTAGGGCATCAAAGATGGCTTATGATTATTTACTAATCCTGCCCCCCTCCTGTGAAGGTCTGTGCTTTATTTCTCTGTCCCTATCCATAGGACCAGTCCCAGAAAGAGTGGTGACCAAAATGTTCTTGGCATAGTTAGCTCAGAAAACTCCTCACCACTGCCAGTCACAATTATCTTTATCTCTCCTCTATTTTTGTTTTAAGGGCTTGATGTCTATTTTTTGGATGGGCAGAAAAAGCCTAAAATTTTGCTCATCTAAAATTTTGGTTGCACAATTCCTTGTTATTATAGGATAAACTCTTATCTAAGCTGGAGTTAAAATAGAAGACCCTGTCTGTCCTCACAGTTTCTTGAATTCTTTCCTCAAAACATGGCCTTTGTTCTCAGGCTGATTTGTAAGAGTTTATATATCTTCAGGATGGCAAAGCAGAGTGTAGGGGGAAGCTGCAGAGGTTGGTTGCCTTTTGAGAACTTGATTTTTATCCCATGGTCAACAGATAACTATGGACAGCTTTGAACTGGGAAAAGACAAAGATTGAGTAAGCATTCTACACCACCTTTTAGCTTTCTGTGTGAAGTGCAGGAACTGAAGGGAACTGGAGGCAGGAAGCCCCGGGAGAAGGCAGTTGCAGTGTTTTGCAGTGATCCTGAAGAGAAATGGTGGTGACCTAGATTAAAGCTGTGGACGGGAGGATGAGGAAGCATAAGCATTCTTGAGATATTTGATGGTACCAGATGTAGTTTTAGGAACGTTATCTAGGGAGAAACAGGGAGGAATCAAAAATGGCACTGGGATTTTTGGCTTTAAGCAACAGATTGGAGGTTGAAGCCATTCCTTGAGAAAGCTAATACTGCATGGAGGTGAGCATGATGTACTCGGGATGGACATGTTGAGTTTCAGGTACTTTGGGAAATCAATTCAACTGGAATGCCCAATAAGTAATAAAATAAATCCTATCACTTTGAGCGTGAAATCATTCCAGGGGCTCACTGTTGCCAAGGGTACATATTCCAAATTTCTTAACAAGACTTACAATTAACTTACCTTTTTTCGGTTTCATCTCTGCCCCCAGGCCCCACCCACAGGTGCTCAGCCCAAACTCAATTTTAGTTCCTCACAAGGAGAACGCTCTCTGAGATCTCAGGGGCTTGGTGCCACCTGTCCTGTCTGTCAGGCCCTATTTCATCCTCCTCGCCTTTCACAAAGAGTGAGGCCAGGTAGGGTGATGGGATAAAAGGTTGAGCAGAAGACGACCTCACCCATACCCTTGCGGAGCTTCCAGTATAATGGCGCAGTCGGACACTAATCCAATACTTATACATACAACTAAAAATTAAATCAAACATTAACACTGCAAATGAGTTCAGAGCTGCCAACAGAAGGTAGTGCCTAGTAAGGATGAGAGCCCATAATGGGGTTTTGACATCAAGACCTGCCTGAGAAAGTGGACATTGAGTTGATTCAAAGAGGGAGAAAAGCTTTCTAAGCTGCGAGAATATCCCTGTGGACTCTACAGTGTAGAGGGTCATAACCTGGTACATTATAGGGAACTAGAGAAATATACTTTTTCCCTAAAAAACCCAGGTCGGGTGAAAGGGGTGGGGGAAAACACGCACACACACAAAAATGGGTATTTTGTCCCGTAGCAGCTGCCATAGGGCCGCAGTAGTCCGCGATCCCGTCGCAATGGGTTCTGGGAGTTGTAGTCTCTACCCGCGCGTGCAGGCATGGCGGCCTCCATTGCAGGGTGCTGCGGAGCAGCGACGGGCCTGACCCGGGGTGTTGGAGCCTCCCGGGCGCTGCTGCCTGCGCCGGCCTCTGTCGTCTGCTGTAAGTGGGGCGAGGCTTGAGAGCCAGGGCGCACAGGAGGTGCAGGGCCAGGTTGGTGGTAGGCGAGCCTGGAAGTCTGGAGCGACCTTGGCGGAGGCCCCTCGTAGGCCCGCAAGCTGGGGGAGGTTGCAGGATTCCCGGGGAGTTCAGGACCGCACGAGCAGTCTTGACCCTTGTTGTCTGTTCCCGCAGGGGCCCGCGCGGGGCCCGGCCGGCTGCAGAGCACGGGACCTTCCCAGCCCGGTGCGGGCACGTTCCAGCCGCCCCCGAAGCCCGTCATCGTGGACAAGCGGCGCCCCCCGCGCCGGGAAACCAGGTGAGGCTGCGCCGGCGCGATGCCCGCGTCGTGGGTCGGTGCGCTCGCGAACCCGGTTCGCTTTAGATCTGGGCTCTGAAGCGGGGGTGGAACTCCCACTACGCCGATGCGTGTGCCGTCCGACTCGGGCGTCCTCGCTGCTTGCAAGCTGGACCGAACCGTCTCAGCAATCGTATTGAATCAGAACTTTATCTAAGTTCTAAGGATTCCCGTGTTTGAAGCCCTCTCCATCGGCATTTGGCCTGCATCAGGAGTTTTTCTCTCCGCGTATCTTATTTTATCCCCTTACGTTCAGGAGCCTGCCTGGCCTCGCCAGGGAGGAAGTGGATTAGCCGTGTTTCAGCTTCTCACCTCCTGTTTTAGTTTCCCGGCAAATGTGGGACAGTGGCAAAAATTTTCTGCCAGTTTGGGTTTGAAATTTGCTCTTCAAAAACTGTGCTTAAAAACCCGGTTTACCCAAAAGAATGGTGGTAACTTTGGAGGTACATGTAAATTTAGATTTAGGATTTGCAGAAGATTCTATAGATCTAATTAAAAAGCCAGTTTGCGGGGGTGGGAAACTTGGTGTGATTATAGACTTTCTGAAGGGCTGTTGATTGGATTATCTGTGTGTGTGTGTGTGTGTGTGTGTGTGTGTGTAACATTTCAGAAATTCTGTGGTTCTGAGTTGAAATAAAGTTGAATTTATGGAACTTAGAAATTAAGAAAAGACTTCCTTATACAACTTTTATTTTTTAAGGTGGAAAAGGGATATTTCCTAAATTGCAGCACTTAATGTAATCCAGTTAAATGGAATGTAAGTTATGTAACTGCTTTGCAAAACAATTTAACGAGTTTGAGGTTGTATACATTTCCACCCAGAAAGGCATAAAACTTAAAATATTAAGTTCAAGAAATGTACAAGGATGCACACAAAAGTATCGTTTGTAACAAGCAAAAATTAAGAAGCATCCTAGATATCCATCAGAGTAGGTGGACTATATATGAACTAGAGCAGTATGGGTGAACTTCACAAATATGTGTGATAAAAAGCAACCTGCAGAAGAATTGATATAGTATGATAGCTTTTTAATATTGCCCAGACATACATGCATATGTAAAGTATAAAAAATGTATGTATGGGGAAATTCTGAACTTTCACAGAGCAGTCAAACCTAGCTTTTCCAGTAGCTCTACAAGTTGATATGTGGCTCCTGATGTGGCAAAATAAGATCACATCTTCAAAAAAGTCAGTGTCATATAAATACAAAGATGGGGAATAGTTCTAGTTGAAGGGACTAACAATCAGATAAGAAGTGTGAAGTTTGACTGTATCTTGGATTGGGCAACAAACAGCTATTAGAGACCTTTTCCAGGATAATTTGGTACATTTAAATATGAACTATATATTAGATTATATTTGTGAATTAATGCTGAAATTCTTAGGTGTCATAAAGGAATTGTGATAAATGTAGGAGAATGTCCTAATTTTTTAATTTAATTAAATTTTTTTCTTTATTGATTTCAGAGAGAGAGGAAGGGGAGGGAGAGAGAGATAGAAACATCGATGAGCCCTGGCCAGTTTGGCTCAGCGGTTAAAGCGATGGCCTGCAGACCAGAGAGCCCCGGGTTCAGTTCCCGCTAAGGGCACGTACCTCAGTTGCAGTTTGTCCCCAGCCCCGGTTGGGGTCGTGTGGGTGGTGGCCAGTTGATGTGTTTCTCTCACATCAGTGTTTCTGTCTCTCTCTTCCTCTCTCCCTCCCGCTCTATCTGAAGATATATGCAAAAATGTCCTGGGGTGAGGATTAAAAAAAAAGAAACATCAATGAGAGAGAACATCGATTGGCTGCCTCCTGCATGCCTCCCAGTGGGGATTTGGCCCACAACCTGGGCATGTGCCCTGACCAGGAATCAAACCTGCAACCTCTTGGTGCATGGGTCGATGCTCAACTACTGAGCCATACCAGCCAGGGAATGTCCTTATTCTTAACAGACACCTTCTAAAGTATCGAGGGATGAAGTGCCTTGCTGCTTGTTATTTCAAATGGTTCAGGGAAAAAATTATATATAAAGCAAATATGGCAAAATGTTGGCAGTAGGTGAAGCTAGGTGAAGTATATTTGGGTGTTCATTGTATTACTATTTCAACTTTTGGTAGGTTTTAAAATTTTCAAAGTAGGAAATTGAGAAAAGGGAACAAATTCATAGGTATAATGACCAAATTTAGTTAATTACATCATAGTATTATAGGGGTTGGGAGGGGAGCACAGGGGCTTCAATCATATTGATAATTTATTTCTTGAGATGGGTGATAGAGACATGAACTTGCATTGTAATGCCATATATACTTTTCTATAAATTACATATTTTATAATGAGTTTGGAGTCAGTTAAGGAGACTAGGAAGATTATTTTTTTAAGGTGGGTTTGTAGTTGATGATTTATATGTTTATATCTTTTCCAGTATAATTTATTATAATATGTACAGCTCAACATGAGGCCTGTGGTTATGGTCACAGGCTTTGGAGTCTGACATTTAAATCTTGACTTGAGCCCTGGCCAGTTTGGCTCAGCGGTTAGAGCGTTGGCCTGCGGACCAGAGAGTCCCGGGTTCCATTTCCGCTAAGGGCAGGGACCTCAGTTGCAGTTTGTACCCAGCCCTGGTTGGGGTCGTGTGGGTGGTAGCCACTCGATGTGTCTCTCACATCGATGTTTCTCTCTCGCTTGTCCTCCCTCTCTCCCTCCTACTCTGTCTGAGGATAAGTGCAAAAGTATACTCGGGTGAGGATAAAAAAAAAATCTTGATAACTTTATAGCTAATTAATTATAGGTAATTAATATTTACCCTCTCCAGGCTTCATTTTCTTCATCTGAAAAAAGAGATAATGACACCAAACCTACCTGGTTGTTGTAAGGATTAATTTATGCTATTGATGTTTACTAAAACTTTTTTTTTTTTTATCCTCACCCGAGGACATTTTTCCATTTTTTGTTCAGACAGAGCGGGAGGGAGAGAGAGGAAGAGGGAGAGAGAGAAACATCGATGTGAAGGGACACATCTAGTGGCTGCCACCCGCACGACCGACCAGGGCCGGGGACAAACTGCAACCGAGATACGTGCCCTTAGCGGGAACCGAACCCGGGCCTCTCTGTACCGCAGGCCGACGCTCCAGCCGCTGAGCTTAACCGGCTAGGGCTGTTTACTAAAACTTTTAACACAGTGCCAGGTGAGTACTCAGGCTTATTAACTATTTTCATAAGCATTAACAATTTTAGAAATAGGATTGATTCTTATTTAGAGAAGGAAGAATAAAACACTTCAAAATCATTATCTTGCTCTCTTGGTTTTTTAAGAAAGCAACAGATTCTTTTTTAATGGTCTTTAAAGTTTGCTTTTAATTTATTTTCTTCCTACAGGTTCTTGAGTCCTGAATTCATTCCTCCAAGAGGAAGAACAAATCCTCTGAAATTTCAGATAGAAAGACAAGACATGTTAGAAAGGAGAAAAGTAATCCACATTCCAGAGTTCTATGTTGGTCAGTACAAGCTGATTGCTCTTATTATTAATGGCTGGAGGGTTAGTTTTCTTGGCACAGAGAAGATTGTTTTTCATATGTCTGGGTTTTACCCTCTGGGGTACTTATTCCTGACAGTATAATGAAATCTTTAGGAAGTCCTGAAGTTTTCTAGAAATGCTATTGCTTATCTCTGCTTCTGATGTACAAGTTCACTTTACTTCTGCAATCACAGGAAGCATTCTCCGTGTCACTGCGGCCGACCCGTATGCCAATGGAAAAACCAGCCAGTTCCTGGGGATTTGCATCCAGAGATCAGGAAAAGGGCTCGGAGCTACTTTCATCCTTAGGAATACTATTGAAGGACAAGGTAGGGTCCATCTCATTTTGTTGATTTTCTGGAAAATGTTACATCAGGATTCTTTTTTGTTCTCTGCATCCTGGGTAGAACTCTGACTCGAAAGTGCAGGGGCTCTGAGGGACAACACGGGGCCTGTGGCCCTGGAAGGGTATGGAAATGGAGGTTACTGATTAAATACAGTTGGCGCTTTGCTTTCTCTGGAAGGCTTTTTGTATTGCAAGGGCAATGGCCGTTCGAAGTAGACTGACTTTCCAAACTGTGACAGTGTTACAGGGGGAGGCAAGTGACCAGAGCAATGTGTGGACATTCACTTCAGGAGCAAATAGCCCGAGAACACTGTAAACATAATGCTGTCCTTATGCATTACTTTCTCCTGAAACAGATGGCCCCAGTTCGTTTTCTATTACAACAGTCACCACAGGATCCGTTTTATAAGAAAAGACAAAATTACGTTTGCTGTCCCTAATAAGGCAGAGGAACAAGTGCTAAAGTTTGAGAAAGATTATGAATCCACTGGCAGAACAAGAAAGTTTTCATACTTAGTGTTGTGTCCTTCGTGATCTCCAGCAATGAGGCGCTGTAGTCCGGAGAAGTGGAACCTTGTTACAAGGGCGGTGTATCCTGCAGTGCCCTGGGTGCGTGCATGCAAGAGCTCAGCCCGGTCATGTGCTTGGGAAGCCTTGTCCTAGGGAGACATGAGCACAGGTGTGAGTCAGACAGACCTGGGCTTGATTTTCTGCTTTAAAATTGAAATAAATGTTTGTCCCTCCCCGGGTTGTGGTCAGTGGATTGCGATGTTGTACGTGAGGTGCTGGGCACAGTGTTATTTCCTTCTCGTCATGCATTACCGTGCATTTTGACTGTCCGCTGCCTGTACCTTCCCCATCCATACTCCCTTTTGTGGTGGTTCTTTCTAGTCCAATAGCTTTAAAAACCACTCATATGATGACAATTCTCAACACATATCTTGAGCACTGAGCCTTTCCAGATTCCAGATTTGCACATATAACCACCAGTTTGGCATCTCCATTTGAATAGCTTATGAGCATAAAACAAGTTCAAAGCAGAACTCTGTATTTCCCCTCACAATGTGTTCTTTTCATGTTTTCTTCTATTTCCATAAATGGTGCCACTCCCCTTCCATTTACTTAAACCAAAAATTTAGGAGCTGTTTTTAATTCTCTTGCACACAGTCAGTCAGCTGGTTTTTATGGCTTGGTCTCAAAAAGTGTATCCGAATTTTGTCCCTCTCTCCACCTCCATGCTACCACTCTGGTTCTTGCACTACTTTCTCCCTGGCAGCTGGTTTGGTTCCTGGCCCACCAGTTACTGTGCTCCGGACAAATGGCCTTCTTCTGGTTTTTCTGACATGGCAAGTTTGTTAAGACCCCAGGGCCTTTGCATTGCCCATTCTTTCTGCCTGGAGCATTCTTGGCCTTTTCTAGTATTAGTTTAAATGTCATCGTTTCAGGGAGGCTGTCCCTGACTACTCTTTCCAGTTGCCCAGTCCTCAGTCAATGTCGTCTCCCTGTATTGTTCTCACTACATGAAATGACCTTCTAGGTTTGTTTGTTTATTGTCATCCACTAGAATATAAGCTTTATGAGAGGAGAAGGATCCTACCTATCTGGGTTTTGCTGTGGACACAGCTCCTAAATCAGTGCCTGAACCAGAATAGTCATACAATAAACTGGATTAAATCCTGGTATTAAACATTAGATGTTAATGTAGATCATATATTTTACTATTTGTATTTCTCTTGGGATTATTCCAGGAAATCTCAAAACACACTCTTTTCCTTAAGTGTTTGATGATACAGATAATGTATATTAAACTATGACTTGTAGCATCTTGGAAGCACTCAGGCTGTTCTTAGCTTGCTCCCCGTGGAAAGCCCCAGAGTGTTCAGAACCCTGGGCTGTCCGTAGGAGGGTTTCTGAACCCAAACTAGAGCTTAAAAATGTGCTTACTCTTTTTCACATCATTAATCCTACTGCTCTTAATGTAAACGATAGTTTTATTTACGTAATTGGGAAATAAACCACATGATGGTGAAGAATTGACTCAGTGTATTTATAGATGACATCATTCTTTTGGCTTTATTGTTCTAATTCATATTTTCTTATTTTTTAATCTATATGGATTTAAGTTTATTTCTGTTTATTTCACTCATCTTCATTTTAAAGATTCAAATTTATGCCACATTTCCTATGACGGGAAGCTTGTGCAGGGGTCTGGATTTAGATCTTAAGGATGTGTTTTCTTCTCTTCTCAGGTGTTGAGATTTGCTTTGAACTTTATAATCCTAGAATCCAGGAGATCGAAGTGGTCAAATTAGAGAAACGGCTGGACGACAGCTTGCTGTACCTACGAGACGCCCTTCCAGAGTACAGCACTTTTGACGTTAATATGAAGCCAGTACCACAGCAGTCTAGCCAAGAAGTTCCCGTGAATCAGGTATGAGTTGTACATTTGGAACTGGAAGTTCAAGTGTAAAATGAGTCATCTTATGAAAACTTTTAGAAGAATTTTGCTTATGACTGTCAGCCTAATTTATTCCTTTTTTTTTTTCATATATATATATATATCTATCTATCTTCCTTAGCTGAAAGTGAAAATGAAGCCTAAGCCATGGTCCAAACGCTGGGAGCGTCCAAAGTTTAATATTAAAGGAATCCAATTTGATCTCTGTTTAACGGAGGAGCAGATGAAGGAAGCCCAGAAGTGGAGCCAGCCGTGGCTCGAGTTCGACATGATGCGGGAATATGACACTTCAGAAATCGAAGCTACAATACAGGCAGAAATTGAAGCGTCGAAAAAGTCTTGATCTGAACATGTATTTAGATCCCTGCAGAGGATATACTGACTCTCAGAGGTTTTTTTTTAGAGACCAATTTAATTTCATATATAGGGACATAGTTGTTAAATCAACTAAGCATTCATTATTTTGTGACTACTGTTTTTTTAAAAAATTGAATTAGCACCTCCGTTTATTACTTGAAGAAGAGAAATACAGTATACATGCCAAGTGGTCTGGTGTCTGTTCTGTTACTGGAGACAGAGCCAAACTATTACAGAATCCTCCTATATAAGCCGAAATCTGAACCAGGGAGGAGGTGCACAGCCCTGACAGCTGGGCCTGCCCCTCAGGTGGGCGGCCGCCCGACCCTTCTGCTCAGCAGGGCCAGGGTCGCACAGGCAGAATGTGGTGCCTCCACTGGGCTGGGTGTCACCAGTTTCCCATCCCTGCTCACCGAGGACCCAGCCCTTCAGTGAAGCGAGATGCAGCGAGGGCAAAGGCCCGTGGCCGGGCAGGGCAGGCGGCACTGTCTTCTGGAGCACTAGGGCAGGACAGGGTCACCTCAGAGGCACTGGGGCAGGGAACAGTGTGAGAGAGGAGGCATCTGACCGCAACTCCCCTTGTCTCCGAGCCTCTCCTCCCCACGCAGCCCGCCCTGAGCCAGGCCGGGAGACCGCAGTGTAGGGGCTCTGGCTTCACAGTCGTTGCCAGGCCTCCGTGTCCATTGCTCTTGGAGAAGACCTATATCAGTTTCTGAAACCTCAGTCAGACCATGTCTCTTCCTGCTTAAAATGCTTCCAGATCCTCCCGTCCCTGTGGGGTAACATCTATGAAAAGCAGACTCCAGAGCCCTGAACGAGCGGGTGCTGAGGCCTGCCTCTCGGCAGCCCTGACCCCAGCACTGTTAGTGCAGCCAGGGTGATGAACGCTTCATCAAAACCAGCAGTAAATGCTTACTTTATGTTCCTCACGCTCCGTTTTCAAAGGCAGGGAACATGTAGTGCACTTTGGAAGGCTGTGCAGATGTTGGTAGCAGCCGTCAGAGAAGCAGGACAGGGCAGTGGTTCAGACCTGGGCTCGAGCCGGATGGCAGGAGTTGCAGTCTTGGTTTCCCCATGCTGTGTGGCTGTGGGCAAGTTCCCTAACCTCCCTGTGCCTCGGTTCCCTCACACAGAATGGGGCTAAGTCTCTCCCTCACAGCATTGTTGTGAGGATTAATGAGTGTTTTGAAATGCTTGGGGGAATGTCTGGCACCTGGTAAACCGGTGTTTGGTATTAATAAATAAAATGTATGTACTTACTAAATTAATAAACAGATACAAACAGACTTGACTTCCTAAACTATATTTGATTGCATCCAGCCCTAAACTTGTCCCCACCCTGTGACCCACTGCCTCTCCCCACATGAACACGCACCCCACCCCCAGCACCCTTTCGCCCCATTCTGGAAAAGAAGTCTTGGGTACTGCATCTGTAGGACACACATCTGCAAGCTTGGTCTCCCCTCCCTAATGCACAGCCGGGCGCACACATTGGTCCATCCATCTCCTGTGAGACTCAAACATCTGGTCGGTGATCAAAGATCAAGTTCACTTTCATTAGCCAACAGGAGGAGCGTGGAACCCATTCCTGAACGCCCTGCCCCTCTGTTATCACAACACCATGCTCTCCCTGCAGTGACCCATAGATGGCACCATTTCCTCTGGCTGGGCACAGAGGGACCTTCCATGGCTTAGAGTAGTTTTACTGTGTGTGTGTCTGGACCTTGAAATGGACTGGGTGACAGTTATGATGGAATCCTGGTCTTCAGGGACTCCGCATGCCCTCGATGAATGGAGCTTGTAATCCTAGTAATCTCATCTCTCCCTCACTCCCGAGGCAGGGCTCGTGAGACTTCAGTAAATGTATAAAGTTGCCAGATTTAACAGAGAGACAGGTGATGGCTTCATGGAAGACAGATAACTGGGGGCCTTGTCCCCAAGGAGCTGACACCAATGACCAGTCTTGGTCTTCAGGACCTGGGCAGAGTGGAGGCAGCCTCTCTCCCACCAGCTGGTAAACTGTTAAATACACCAAACTCTCACAAGTTCAGACCTGAGAGTCTATAACCTCTCAAAACACCAGGGTTCCCTTATCAGGAGACCCCGAAAACAGAAATCAGGCAGTAGCGGGGTTCCACGTGTTCCCCTCCACCATGGCTGTTCTTGCCAAGGCCATGGTGAATGACCCTTTTGCTTCTGTTATGGTCTGAATGTTTATGTCCCCCAGAACGCACATGTCGGAGTCCTACGGGATTAGGAGTGGGCCTCTGGCGGTGCTGAGGTCATGACGGGCAGTCCTCGTGAGCGAGATTAGTGCCTCTACAAGAAGGAACACGACAGAGATGGTTCCCTCTCCACCATGTGAGGACACATACACTAAAGTGACTTTCTGTAAACCAGGAGAGGGCCTTTGCCAGAGCCCCACCATACTGGCGCCCCGATCCCTGACTAGCCTCCAGAACAGGAATAAATGTTGTGTGGCATTCTGTTACAGCAGCCCAAACTAAGGCAGTTTCCAAACTCAGCAGGCACTGTCCTCCTCCGCCTTTCTTCACCTTTTGCAGCACTCCTTCCCACCCCCACCCCCTTGAGACCCCCCATGTCCTTGGATGTGGGGGCCCCACGTGCTCACGGTTTCCATCTTCCCGGCTGCGCCCTCTCAGAAACCGGCATGAGTTCCTCTTTTCCCACCCTTCCTCGGGGGTGGTCTTGCTGGGAGATCTTCATGCTCTCCACACAAACTCCCCTGGCTTTCTCCTTCCTCCTCTCTCCCTGATGCTATTGGACTCCAACTCAGTTAACAGGAATCCAATGGCCACAATCCTCTTCCCTGGCTTATCACACCGACTCTTCAAAGGCAGTGCATTCCAACCTGAAGCAAACCTCAGCATCTGTCCACCACTGCTCCTGTCCCCACCCAGGCCACCAAGTCTGTGTCTGGCCCTACATCCAGGGTCACGTAAGCCAGAGTATCACCCTTGACTCCTGTGTTAGTTTCCTAATAAGTACCATGAACTGAGTGGCTTAAAACAACAGAATTCACCCTGGCCAGTTTGGCTCAGCAGTTGGAGCATCGGCCCTCGGACCAGAGAGACGCGGGTTTGGTTCCTGCTAAGGGCACGTACCTCGGTTGCAGTTTGTCCTGGTTGGAGTCATGTGGGTGGCAACCAGTCGATGTTTCTCTCTCACATCGATGTTTCTTTCTCTCCCTCTCTCCCATTCTATCTGAAGATAAATACAAAAATGTCCTTAGGAGAGGATAAAAAACAAAAACAAAAACAGAATTCTTTTCCACCCAGTTCTAGAGGCCAGAGGTCTGAAACTAAGGTGTTGGCAGGGCCTCTCCCTCCAGAGATCTAGGGGAGGACCCTTCCTTACCTTTTTCAGCTTCTTGTGGCTTCAGGTGTCCCTTGGCTGTGGCAACATAACTTCAGTCTCTGCCCTGTCTTCTCTCGGCCTTCTCTGTGTCTGTGTTGTTTCCTCTTACACACATTCTCGTTGGACTAGGGCCCACCCTAAACCCAGAATGATCTCCTCTTGAGTGTTACCTTAATTTCATCTGCGAAGACTCTATTTCCAAAGAAAGTCACATTCTGAGGTTCTGGTGGACATGTATTTAGAGGGGACATTATTCAACTCACTACAACTCTTCCCCCTCACCTCACCTTACCCAATTACACCTGCTTAACACACTGGCCCCAATCACGCCTCTCCATCCACCGTTCCTGGGTCACGGCACCTGGTGTAGGTGCCCAGCCCTCCAGCTCTGCCGTCTGTTCACTCCCCACACAGCAGTCAGGCTAAGAGTCCCAGGACAGGTCACATCCTGCTTCTTACAGTGACTAGGAATGTGGTGCTATTAAGAATTAGTACTAATTTATAGGTATAGTTATTGTGGTTTTTCAAAAAAGTTCTGACTTTTTAGAGATACATACTGAAGTACTTACGTTGAAATGACACAATATCTGAATTTGCTTCAAAACAATTTCTGGGAGAGCAATAGGGATATAGACCAAATAAGATTGGTCAATCGTTGAAGCTAAGTAATGGTTATATGGGAATCATTCTATGATTCTCTCTACTTTTGTATTTGCTTTAAAATTCATAATAAAAGGCTTTTAAAAAAGAAAGAAAGAGTCCCCAGCACAGAGCACCAGGAGTCACAGTCAACTAATCAGAGCTGAAACTGGGCATGAGCATTCTGTGTCCAGCTCTGGGCTGGTGTGTGGTCATCCCAGGAAGGAGGCCGTGAACCGGGAAGGAACCCAGGGTTCTTAAAGTTGAGTCAGCTCCAGAACCATCAGAAGCCTAACAGTTAGACTCTGGCTAATTTTATAAAATTAATTTTTCTTTTTATCTGGTTGTGTGTGTGTGTGTGTTGTCATTGTTTTTCTCCCTCAATCTTTGGTAAAGTTCTTTTACGACAACTCCAGCTACCTTCAGATGTGGTCAGAGGAACCAAGGGAAGTTGGGTTTGTCTATCAAATGTGAAGTCTTCCCCCTCCACGACCAGCCCTCTTCTCCACAGGGCCCCCAGGCTGCTGGCCACCTGGCCTCTCCATCCAAGCAGGAGACTGGGAGAGCCTGGTCTGGAGAATCGGACCAGCCCAGGAGAAACATCTGTAATAAGGTGATAAAACTGCTAGATTCTTCTGAAGGGTGTTTTAGAGAGTTGGAAGAGTTTGAGGTTGTATTATACTTAAGTATATAGAAAACTAAACAAATGAGAAAAAGAAGACAATTCTTCTTCTTTTTTTTTTTAAATCTTCACCCGAGGACATTTTTGCATTTATGTTTAGATAGAATGGGAGGGAGAGAGAGAGAGAGAAACATCGACGTGAGGGAGACATGTCAACTGGTTGCCACCCACACAACCCCAACAGGGGCTGGGGACAAACTGCACCCGAGGTACGTGCCCTTAGCAGCAACCGAACCTGAGTCTCTCTGGTCCACGGGCCAACACTCTTTAACCGCTGAGCCAAACTGGCCAGGGCGACAATTATTCATTTTTAAAAAGTAGTACAATCCTTATATTCATTGCAGCATTATTCATGGTGGCCAAGACATGGAAACAACCATGGTCTTTTGATAGAGGATTGGATAAAGAAGCAGTGGTGCATATAGACAGTGGAATACCACTCAGCCACAAGAAAAGATGAAATACTGCCATTTGCGACAACATGGATGGACCTTGAGAATATCATGCTAAATGAAATAAGTCAGAAAAAGCTAAGAACCATATGCTCTCGCTCATATGTGGAATATAAAACTAAAAGTCATAGACACAGATGGTTACCAGAGGGAAGGGGGTGGGAGGTAGTAAATGGTAAAGGGAGCCAAATGTATGGTGACAGAACATGATTTGACTTTGGGTGGTGGGCACACGATGCAATGTACAGATGATGTATCAGAGAAATGTACACGTGGAACCTATATAATCTTATTAAGCAACATCACCCCTAATAAATTTAATTTTTAAAAAAAGTAGTGCAGGAAAGAAAAATATACTTTATGAATTAACTATGAATAATGTTTACATGTTCACACTAACATAAATACTAAATTGATGTGCTGTTCTTTGGTTTTTAGCAACCATTTCCATTCCTGCTGTGCTCTGCCCTGTGTCACAGGGGATGGGAGCCTAGAAACTGCATTTCCTGGCTGGCATTAAGCTTGGCACCCGATGGTAGTTTCAGATCTGCCAGGAAGATGCCATTATTTTTCTGGGTGCCCTCTCGATGATCTAGAAGTGCTGAAACCCCCTGCTAGGCATGATCGATGTGTACATTCCTCCCTGTAACTCCATCCGTTTCTTCTTTATCACTGGAAGCTACGCTGTTTAGTGGACCGTGTCAGATTTGAGACATACTTGCACTAAAATATTATTCACTGTTTACCTGAAACTCCAATGTAACTGGGTGTCATGTTTTGTTTTGTTTTGTTTTGTTTTACTTTTGGGGTGGCTACCTGGCAACTCCTCCTCCTCCCCTACTTAGGCTGGGACCCCACTCCACCCCACCAGGCTGCTTCCCCATGGGATGGCCTCTGTTCTGCACGGGGTTCTGACATTGACAGGGGGCTGCCTCTCTGATGGCACCCTTTTCTCTCTGCTCAGACTCTGGGACCCCACACTGAGCCATCATGGCGCCCCCCGCCACCCCCTGCTGTCACAGACACATGCCTTGCTTTGCCCCACCTGTTGGCTTTTGAAATGAGTTGCTTAGGATGAGAAAGGAAGAAAAGGGAAGGGAAGAGGAGAGGGAAGAC